TTCTATATTAACTCGGTAGTAAGTTTTATTAATGAACGCGTCTCGTTATTAATAACTACCCTCGATGAATTGGATATACTCCTCGATTGAGTATTCGAGAGGAAGATAGTTAAAGATATAACCGGGATCGACGAACATTTCATTAAGTGGATAAAAGCAAAGCCAAGTCTTCTTCTCATTAATTAAACCACATAACTCGTTCATCTTCGTATTTAAATATAATTTAAAGTTCATCAACCAAATATAAACCCCCCTTATTGTTACTTATCTATTTCTGTAAGAAGAAAAGTATTCATTTCCCTGTGGATACGAACCTTACTACACTATACTACGTATTAGTGTCGTATTGTATTATTACTTTGAGTGCACCTCACGACAAAGTGCACGTCATGGCACAAGTTTGCTTCTTGGATGCCCAAGAAATGGAACCTAGCCTCTCCCAAGCAAGAATACCCAACCACTTGTAGTCTTGTAGAAGAATGATCCTCTACATTGGATATCCAACTTGCATCCGAATATCCCTCTAACACCGAAGGATACTCAAAGTAACACAAACCATAATCTATTGTTCCCTTTAAATACTTGATTACTCTCTTCATTGCTTGCCAATGTTGAGTACTAGGATTACTAATATACCGGCTCAACCTACCCACGGCATAAGCATATCTGGTTGGGTGCTTGTCATTGCATGGCATACATCAATCTGCTAATAGCTTGAGAGTACTCAAGTTGTGATATTGTCTTTCCTTTATTAAACATCAACTTCACACTAGGATCCATGGGAGTACTAACGGGTGAACAATCATTATAATTAAACCTTTTGAGAATATTCTCAACATAGTGAGCTTGTGTCAAAGCAATCCATTTGTTTACCCGTTTAATCCTTATTCCAAAGATAACATCCGCCTCCCCCATTTCCTTCATGGAGAACCTTGATGATAACAACCTTTTAGTTTCATCAACCTGATTTTGGTCCATTCCAAAAATTAACATGTCATCAACATAGAGACATATAAACACACCTGCCCCTAAAGCATCAAATCGGCTATAGACACACTTATCCGATTGGTTTAAACTAAAACCATTGGGCAGGATAACTTCATCAAACTTTTGATATCATTGTTTGGGTGCTTGTTTCAGCCCATACAATGATTTAACAAGTTTACATACCTTATGCTTATTTCCGGGCATAACGAAACTATCCGGTTGTTTCATGTAAACTTCCTCATCAAGATCACAATTTAAAAATGTCATCTTGACGTCAATCTGATGTATAATCAAATCGTGTATAGCCGCCAAAGCAATTAACAACCTAATGACTATAGTCAATTCCGGGTTTTTGTCTAAAACCTTGAATGACTAACCGGGCTTTGAACTTGTCAATTATTCCATCCACTTTCATCTTCTTTTTGAAGATCCGACAACACCCAAATGTTGTTCTACAAAATTGATGATCTTTCATCATTAATTGTCTCCTTCCAAAAGGCAACATCTCACCTCTTTAAAGGTCTTTGGATCATCTTCAACTTGGTAACAATATGAATATTGTACCCCTACTTCGTCCCTTGAACCGTCCACTAAATACAAGTGAAAATTGGGACCAAAGTCTATCACAATGCGGCCTATTTTGCTTTTACTAATTTGTGGTGTTTCCGAATCCGAAACACCATCCAAACATTTTTGGCCTTGCACCTTACTAGTGCATGGAAGTAAATCTTTTGGCCTTTGAATTGATGAATATCTCATCTCATAAAAAATCACATCCCGAGACGCAATCACGGTGTTAACCGCTACCGCATCGTTAGGTTCTATTACATAAAACTTATAAGCTAAACCTTAGAATTTTCACCATACCCTACGAATATGCAATCAATTCCCCTTTCTTCCAAAGTTTTCCTGTTGGGCTCGGGTAATTTTACAACTGCCCTACAACCCCAAACCTGAAAATATTTCAAATTTGTCGCTTTCTTGTACCAAAGCTCATATGGCGTTGTCTTGATCCGTTTATTTGGAACCCTATTCAAAACATAGCAGGCCATGAGCATGGTCTCTCCCCAAAACCCTTCACTCAAACCCGAGTAAGAAAGCATGAAATTAACTATTTCCTTTAAAACTCGATTTTTCCGTTCGGCCACACCATTTTGGTGTGGTGTGTACGAAGCCGTGGTCTCATGTATGATTCCAACAGATTGAAAATAATGGGGATTCATATATTCTCCTCCCCGATCATTCCTAAGACTTTTAATTGGATTATCCAATTGCAATTCAACCTCGGCTTATACACTTTAAATGTCTCGAAAGCTTCATCCTTAGTGTGAAATAAATACACATAACAAAACCGAGTTGAATCATCAATAAAAGTAACAACATACTTCTTTTTGTCAAGGGAAGGATTTGAGTGAAAATCACATAGATCCTTACTTACAAGATCCAAAATAGCTGAATTCCTTTCAATGTTAGGAAACGTTTTTTTTTTGTGATCTTAGTAAGCATGCAAGTCCTACACTTATCATTATTAATATCAAAAGCTGAAATTAAACCATCTTTAGACATTTCATGCATTTTTCTAAAATTAGCGTCAACTAATCTAGCATGCCAAACCATTTAATCATTCATGGAAGATGTCACAAAAATAGAATTATCACTAGAAATTAATATATTCACCACATTCAAACAAAACATGTGATTTGATAAATATCTAAAACCAACAAACACACCATGATTGGACAGAATATATTTATCTAATTCAATCACTTGTTTGAACCTTAAATTTTTCAACATACTTCCCGAAAAAAGATTCTTTCGAACCTTCGGTACACACAAACCATCAAATAATGTAATTAGTTTTTAAGAAGTAAATTCTAAAACATCAACACCCTTTCCCAAGATTGGCGCCATTGACTTGTCTCCCATGCGTAAGAAGGAACCGACATCTACTAGTTGTAAGTCTTCAAACCATCCTTTATCCTTACATACATGGATCTTAGCCCCCGAGTCAATCCAACATGCACAATCATCATCATGTACATAAAAGGATTCCTGAATGAGTGATACATAATTCTGTACAGAATTATCGAAGTTAGTCAAGAACCGGTCTCCTTTCGGTGGACCTAGGTCCATAGATCGTTCATGTCCACCCCCACTCGTTTCAGCGCCATACTTGTTCAGTTTCACATGGCAATCACGCTTGACATGCCTAGGGGTGGGGAAAAATACCGAAATTTTGGTATACCGGACTTACCATATCGAAAAATACCGAATTTACCAAAGTGTTTGGTATACCGACACTTTTGGTACGGTATGATATCGTACCGAATTACTTCGCTATGGTATCGGTATATATTTTGGAAATAAACGGTATACCGTTATACCGTCATACCGTAATTCCAGGCCAATAATTTCTTTAAAATTATAAAAATAACTAGAAACACAACATTTATTCAAGGATAATGACTTTATATCCATGTTTCTTGAATTATTTATACTATTTGTTGGAGATCATATCGATGTTATTTCAAATATATTTATGTTGTTTAAATTATTATTTTAGCAGAATGTATTGTTATCTTCATATATCATGTGTTGAAGTATCCGTACATATTTATAATATTTTTTTGTTCAAAGTTGAATGGAACACAAATAGGTTATCATTGGTATTTTATACTTAATTTCATTAATAATTTTAGTATATCACTATTAACACCGATTTTCTATATTTCATTTGATATATAATAATTTGATATTAAATCATGATAATTTACCGTTACCGTAGCTTACCGTACTGAAATTTTGGTCTACTGAAACAAGGTATACCGAAATTTAGGTATGGTAATGGTATGTATTTTTGCATACCGAAAGTTTACGGTATGGTAAAGGTATGAGATAAAGCCTTCGGTATACCGTACCGTACCACCCCTAGACATGCCCAACTTTTAACATCTCGATCAAACAAAGCCTTTCGGTTTCTTGTTGGGTTTGTCATGGTCATCATACTTGCGCTTCTTGGCTTTCCCCTTGTTTGGGTTAGATTTTTTATCCTCAACCAAATGAAAACGAAGATGTCCAGATTCAACTCCACCCATAATTTGGTCATTCTCTAGTGCACGAAGAGACTCCCCAATGTGCAAGTGACTCCCAAGTTGAACCAGTGACAATTCCTCATCTTGATGTTTTAAGGAACGTTTAAAATCCTTCCAAAAGGGTGGAAGTTTGTCAATTATACTCGACATGACATATGATTCATCAGTACCTATCTTGTGGAGCTTAAATTGACAAAGAACACGAAGGAGTTCATTGTATTGTTTCATAACCGGCCTTGAGTCAACCATTTTATAATTATTAAAATCATTGATCAAGAATTTCTTACTAGAAGCATCTTCGGTGATGTATTTTGACTCAAGAGAATTCCACAATTCCTTCGCAGTCTCAACGTTTTGGTAAATATCAAATAACGCACCAGACATACCGTTAAGAATGTGACCTCTACATATGTAGTCATCGTTCTCCCACTTATTACGCCTCCTAGTTTGTTCCAAAGTTTCATCGTCCGTCACTTCCGCCATCAGAGTGCTTAACACGTACACAACCTTCAAAGTGATGAGAAGGAAGTGCATCTTCTTTTGCCATCTACGGAAATCATTCCCTTAAAACTTGTCCAACTTTTTCAACTTGGAAGTTGTCACACCGCAAACCGCATCTAGGCGCGTGTACAACCGCCGCACAATCAAGTGGCGCCACTCGCAGGTCACACTCACTCAATTGTACAAGGCGTCCATGAACATAGTTCATACCATATTCAGTAAGTAAACTTACATGACAACATCACACTTAGGGTGATCGGGCCCGCACCCGGCGGGTGGCCCGGCCCGGGACCCGGCCCACACCGACACCGGCCTCAAAGTGGTCCGGGCTCAGGCCTGCTCCCAAATTTCTTAGGCCCGACCGGGCCTAAGCCCGGCCCGGGTCCACGCCTACGTATGTATCTAATTAAAGTATTAAAATATAATAAAAATATTACATTTATAATAGAACATTTTGAAAGTACAAGAGGTATCCCCCCCCCCAATTCGTCCCCAAAAATACCCTTATTTGATGATTAGATGGCTAACATAAAATATAAGCAAAAATGAATCGAGCAACAACATTCTCATGGGTTTAGCGAATGAACTAGGCATAAGGCATGTACTCAAACATGACCATTCTCAAGGATCTCACACACACGTCTCCAAGCCCTTTCGGCACTCCCAGCCTCCCAACTAACTCTCGCTCCAAACAAAACTTTAGAAAGTACATTTCTCATAATCTATAATAATGTTGAAAGAGGTAGAACTGAAATAAGTTTTTATCATCATCATTCATCATCTCTCATAAGTTCTTCCAGGGAAAACTCGTCATCTTCAATGATTTCCCCATCTTTACCGTCCCAAGCTTCAGTCTTTACAATGGTAGGGGTGCCAGATAAAGGCAAACTTTTTCCCTTACCTCCCGATACCCCAATTTCTCTCACGAAATCTCTGCATAAATAGCAAAATGATTTTGTATCTGAGATTACAAAATTCAGAGTAGTAATTAATATAGCCGGGTTGAGATAAACTTACTTAATCTGGTCGGGTTGGAATGCACTCTTGAGTGGAACATATAGTTGGTTTTTCACACTTAGAGCTACCATGGCTGGATATCCATACCCTCCAACTCCAACATACTTCTCAAGATCTGGTTGCTTTCCGGCAGCGGCCCATACGTAGCTGTAATTTTTCATGTACAATGCTTTAGCTTAAAAGTTCACTTCACGAATCAATTGAACATCTACTCATACTACTCCTCTGCATGTAGCAATTAAATCAAGAGCTTAAGGTAGAAAAATATCAAGCGGACCCATATGTGTGGGTAAGAAACCAATGTGGATCCAATGTGGGCACATGAAATAAATGAACATGAGGTTATTTCCACATTTTGTAATGTGGGCGCATCTATTCCTTAGGGAGAACTCCAATTTGGTAGCATTATCCCAATATTCACCAGATTCAGCCAAATAACCCCAACCAAGCAGGCCATTAGCCTTCCAAGAAAATATTATAAAAATTGATGAAACTAATTTGTGTGATATTGCGCTTGCCTGTAGGGCTTCACTTTGAACTTCTCAGCAACAGATAACAGTGTCTCAAGGTATTTGTTCCTTCCTTCTGCCTTGGAGTCCAAAATGTCAGGAAGGAATGCCACAAAGCAAAGTGGGGCAGAGTTGCACTTTTCTTCCATGACATCCTATACAAATACATAGGCAGAATATATGTGGATAATATGAATATCAATGTCTAAATAAATTCTCACTTAAAAATATTGTACTGAATAAAAGCAAGCATACCGGCCCAGTCAATTCAGTTACTTCAGGGGGGGAGACATTCATTTCTAGCTGCTCGAGTGAAAATGATTCAATTGCAGAGGCAGTCCTTGCACCATTATAAGGTACAGGTTGGTCCTTGTCAGTCCCAAACACCAAAATTGTTGGGAACCCTTGGACATTGAACCTGCTCATTAGAGACTGTAAACTAAACTCTCATCAGATGATCAGACCTCAAACCACTTGAAAAATCAGCAAGGGTATGCTTGGATAACAGAAATTGCTAGGAAGCATATAACAAATCTTAAGGGAAATATTTATGTTTGGTTTTAACCTTGGAAAATTCAAACGAAAATGAGATATAATTAAATTTTCTAAATATATTTAGACTTTGTAGTGTTTATATAACATGTATAGTAAATACAATGATATCGAAAAAATATCTAAAATAAATTTATTGAGCTTGAACATATCTTTTACTCCCCCCCCCCCCCCCAAAAAAAAATCCGCTTCTAATATTACTCCTTATTTTCTTTTCATAGTAATTTGTGGGTTCCAAATGGGCCCTAAAAGAATCAAAATTCATAAATTTATCTTCAGTAACATGCAACCTCTTAAAATTCCAAAGAAAGAAAATCTAATCCTAAAGGTACTTTGAGAGACCAACTAAATTATATCTAGACCAACACTACCATGGACTATGCAGTCTAGAACTTGCCTTCTCTGCATCACAGTCTACATGGCCCAACTTCACCTTTCCCTTTAAGCTATTTGCAGCTTTCTTCCACTCAGGAGCAAGCTTCTTGCAGTGGCCACACCTATGCAGCACAACATTTCAATAACAATATAATATGAGGTCATATAAATCAAAGACATATGTATGGAACTTGAATGGAGAGGCAGCCTGACGGTGAGACGGGAGTACGGGACCAAAATATATTACTTTAATATTAAAAAGTACGTAGTAATACTTTACAAGAATTGTTTCCTTTAAGTATCACTTTTGACCTTAAAGTATTGCTTTTGACCCGGGTTTCAAAACAGATATATTCAAACTCCTAACATTCATACATGCATTGATGCACACATATAAAAGTTGTGCACAATATGACCCTCATTCATGAAAAGCAGATATTGAAGCTTTTCACCTATCTATTTCTGAGAAGCGCATCTAGAGTCACCAGGGTTTCACTTATTGTGCACCTTAACTTAGGAGTAATTCAATTTTGTACATTCAAAGTAAGAAAGTGCAGTTAAGATGCAATAGAGAGACAACAATATAGCTTACGTTTGTTTAACATGGAAATTTATGTGTTATATCATGCCAGTATTCTACAGATGAAGAGAAATCAAACAAGAAAATAAGAGATGCTACCCCAATAAGTATGAATCATCAATTGTAATTTTGCCTCACCTACAGACAGCATTTTTCACATTCTTAGACATTGCTAATTTGACTTGTGGAATTTGAATGAGGTGATATCACAATGAGATGGGCTAAGCGGTCTCAATGGGTTCAGTAAAGAATACTTAGACAGCAATACAGAAATATGGATCACATGATAAAGCAGGTGAAGCATTGATACGCTGAAATCATAAAGGTGGCAGATTACCATGGTGCAAAGAACTCCACAATCCATAGTTCTTTGCTTTTAAGCACCAAATCATCAAAGTTTTTTGAGTTCAACTCAATTGATGCACTAGGTTCAGACTTTTGAGATGACCCTCCTGCTGTTTTTCCATCTAACCGATCCTTCAACAACTCCCTAATCTGCACACAGCAAATTCATTATAATCACCGTTTCTCATAGGTATTGATATGTGTGTGTGTGTCTGTCTAGGATCAAATACAAAATCGTCATTCCCATGAAAGGAACATTGTATTTAGGATGTAATGCCTCTAAATAGGTCTAAACACGGTGGCACTTTCATAAATAAATAAATAAAAATCTTATTTGCAAAAAGTGGACTTGCAGCATGCTGCGTGCAATAGCGTACCGTAAAGGAGTAAAAGTGGATGGCAGAAAATTTCTCAATATATATATATATATATATATATATATATAGAGAGAGAGAGAGAGAGAGAGTAATGATCAGGTTAGGCCTTCCTGACCGGAACCCCGTCTGGCCGCCATTTGAGGTGGTTCCCGGTGGAGTTTTTTATGAAAGTTTGTGAGCATGTTGCTCATGAAGTGTAGATTATGTACACAGAGTTTCAGCTCAAAATCCGATCGGGAAGTAAGTTTGTGAGCATGTTGCTCATGAAGTGTAGATTATGTACACACTGCGCCAAAATTATACATAAAAAGTGCAGTGTTTTTTATATTCTGGCAGTATATATACCAATATGTGCTTATTCCTCAAGACCATAAAAGGTCTAGGGAACTGGTGTATACAAGCAACCTTTCCATAATCATGACTTTGAACTAACCGAAAAAATTGATCACTCTAAAATCTAAATATATAATGCTGCTACATTTAAGGTAGATTAGTAGATCTGTTTATTACTTCTATACATTGATATTAATAATCAGCTATTTACTAGTTATGATACCAAGGACAAACAGCTTTTTATAATTTATACAACTTCTTTTTAACTATGCAAGAACCATAATGCATAATTTCAATCATAAATTTCATGTCTACTCTCAATTCTCAATGATGCCATTCATTAAGAGTTTGGGAAAGGGAGAAAGCATAGGCTAGGCAGGAGAAAATACAATAACTTCATAAATAAGACAAAATCGAGACTGTGCGACTCTTCATTAGATAATATAGAGTTGAACAATTTATTTATAAAACTGATCCAATATCATGGATCGATTCATGTTAGTCAACCCCAGATTCTTTTGGGATTAAGGCTTGGATGTTGTTGTATTTATAAAACTGATCTAAATTGTTTGTCTCTCTGTTTCTCTATTTATTGTTTTTTTTTTCTGATATCATATGTCAACCCCAAACTCTTATGGGAATAAGGCTTAGATGTTGTTGATTTTGTATTCATAAACAAAAACTTTCATAAGATTTTTTGTTCCAGCAGTAGTACTATGATAGAATGTAAATAACCTTCTTTGGAAGTTAAATATTCCGTATTTCAATAATATCATAATAAATCATAATAAATTTACAAAATGGATAAAAAAAACATACTCCATTTCATATTAGTTGTCTCAGTAGGGGTTTCCCCATAACTTAATAGCATCTGTAGATGGAGAAACGGTGGCTTTTTATAATGTACCACTACTGTACACTTTTATAAGTGTGCTGTAGCCTATAGCAACTTTTGGAGGTAAATCAATTTCCAAAAAAGAGGTGTGACAAGTAATTTGGAACACCCCAAAAAGGAATGTGGGACAAGTAATATGAAAAGTAGGTCGTATATCTAAGGAAACATAATGGAATGAGAACCAAAACAATCCATTTGGTCTAAATAAACAAAGACATTACTGTTAAAAATCCCACACCGAAAAACTTTGAATGAACAAAGTGTTATATTAAGATGTGGGTTACTCCTCCTATCAGGTTGACCTTTTAGGATGGAACCCCAGATCTTATCATGGTATCAGAGCCAAATCGATCCACGGTGTGGGTCCCCTTATGATAAATGACGACACGATTATGAAAAAATGACAATGACGAACCGACAAAAAAATGAATAACGGTACGATACAGACGAATTGTCTGGTCGTGAGGAGGGGTGTTAAAAATCCCACACCGAAAAATTTTGAATGAACAAAGTGCTATATTAAGATGTAGGTTACTCCTCCTATCAGGTTGACCTTTTAGGATGGAACCCCAGATCTTAACAATTACTCCTGATAAAGAAGGACCATATGAAACTTTGATGTAACGTCAGTTGATATTGTACAAAATCTATAGATCGGAGATTCTAACATGTGTGATGTGTACATGATAGGTTGTTCCACTTAATTCTTCATAGGACGAAAATCTATGTACAAACACCCAACTAATCTTCTATATAAAGGGTGCGAATCGAATCACGACAACTTTGAATTTCACTTTATCTCTTGGTGAACACAACCAAATTTCACCCCCAAGCTTAAATGACCATACATGATACCACTTTACTTTGACTAACATTTAGGGTATGTTTGGCACAACTAGCTGGAAAGATACTTTTGTGAGCTTTTTAGTAACAATTAGTAACAATTAGCTTTAAATGAGTAAAAAGATCTTAAAAGAAAAAGGAGATAGCTGTTTGATAAAAAGTTGACTGTTTGATTCAGTTATGTTGGGTATACAAGTTGTTGTGACTGGTTAATGCTAAAATCTACATACTTTTTTCAGATGCTACTAAGGGTGCATTCTCAAAAACTTTTTTGAAAAAAAAGGTCTAAAAAATTGTCGTGCCAAACATACAACTAGAAAATTTTACGGACTTTCTAAATAGTACAAAAGTTAAAAGGTAGGGACTTATGCCTACTGAACATGCACTTAGAGTGGCTACTTGGATCTTTATTTTAGTAACCACAAACACCCAAACAACCCATTCAAAACAAAATTAAATTTTTTTTCTATAAATTAATCCTAAATACCAATATACTCCCTCCGTCCCGAAAAGGTTTGCCAAATTTCTTTTTTTGGATGTCCCAAAAGATTTGCCATTTCCATTTAAAGTAAGGAATATGTGGCTAAAGTTAATTCTCTCTCCTCTGCACAAATTTCAACCACACAGTTTTTACTTTATTAATCCACGTGAAAGTCAAAGTTTGCGAACCTTTTCGGGACGGAGGGAGTATGTCATTAGAAGGGAAGTTTTGGCACACGGGTTACGGTATTTTTGTGTGACTGAGAGGTCACGGGTTCAAAACTTGGGAGCGACCACTTTTTAAAATGACAAGGGAAGACTTGCTTCGTATACATCCTTGCGGTGGGACTCTTCCATGGATTCTCACTCTCGCTCTGCGGGGACAGCAATGTGCACCTGGCTGCCCCTGCCCCCCTTTACCAACATATGTCTTTACTCCATTTCTTTGAGATAATACTAATGGAGACAGTAAACAGGGAAATGATCATTGCTTTGCAATTAAATTACAGAAATCAGCATTTACCTGTGCCTTCGCGAAATCAACCATGGGTTTTACCTCTCTTGCTCCTTGATAATCAACAGGCTGTTTTCCCGCTACAAAAACCTTAATCGTAGGAAACCCCTTAATGCCATATTCCTAAAGGAAGAGAGCAACACATTAGTAACAATCATATAATACCATCATTGTGCTTCATCTCAGCATAATCCAGATCTATTTCTCTCAAGATTGGGATTACTGCTGAAGAAAATGCATGCAACTAGTATTTCTCTTATCAGATTTAATAGTTTCTCATACTCCATCAATGCTTCCGAGTATCTTTTAGTATATTTCCCAGAGCTTACTCATGGCATATAAGTTGTTCCACTGTTAAATGGTTTTAACTTTTAAGAAATTAGTAATAAAGTTGTTATCTCATTGATCTTCTTACTTTCAGCCAAGGAAACTGAAATTCTAGAGTTTATAATACTGCAAATTTTATTGGTTCAACACTATACATATGTTTGTCACCCCAGTTATCTTTTTACTAGCAGTCCGAACATCTGAATTCCCTCGTCTTGACCTGTAAACGCTGATATAATTTAAAACCGATTGGGATGCTCAATGATAAATAGAAATTGGAAGTAAGGATGGAGAAGGGAATTGGGAAAATGACCTGAGCAAGGGACTTGTGAGCATCGGCATCGAGTGCCGCGACAGTGACTACGCCTTTCAAGACAGAGGCGACCTTCTCGTACGTGGGTGTTAGAGCCTGACAGTGACCGCACCAGGGGGCAAAGAACTCTACAAACACTACGCCATTAGAATTCAGCACCTGAAGGCAGTAGGAAAGGAATGCAGAACACCCATTTCTATTAAATTGGACTGGAAAATAAAACGGGAGATCGAAACAGAACTGCGTAACTAAATGTACAATACATGATGAAATCGAAATGAAATAGGTACCTTGGACTTGAAATTCGAAGGGCTCAACTGAACGACGGGAGATGAGGCGCCGTATAGAGCGTTAGCTGTTGTGATTAGTGATGCTAACAGCAATGGCAGTGGCAAAAACCAAGCTGATCGTTCCATTCGTACCTTCCAAATTACTTTGATGCTTGCTCCGTTAGAAGAGTGTTATATGACTGATCCCGAAGAACGCGAGAAAAGCATATATGGATCATATTTATGCCGTAAAATAACTGCAAAAAAGATGCGATGCTGTGGAGCTGAGAGAGTGCGTGTCCCAACCAATCGCTAGATCCCACCTCAACAGATTGTATAAAGACCAGTCTAACCCGGTATGTTGAATTTTTCTATTTCTACAGTTTTTTTTTTTTTTTGCATTTTTGCTGTGTTTTTAAAAACTGGACCATGAAACAACCCTACAAATTACTGCGTCTAATCAATCCGAACCCGATGGATCAACCTGGTTAAGAGCATCTCCAATGGGGTAGTGAATTGGAGTAAAGTCTATCCTACGTGGTATAGGAGAGAGATAGAGATATGATGATTATTTTAATTTAATATGGAGAAAGTGATGTGTATAGAAAAATTAAAAGGAAGAGAGAGATATGAGTAAATTGTAGACAATGTCTATGACAATGTCCACAAATAGACATTGCACGAGAATCGAGGAGCAAAAGTGAATGAAAAGTGGGTTAGAAGTGATATAATAAAATGAAAATGAAAATAAATATGGAGATATGTAGGTCCTACACATAAAATTTGTGAGATAAAAAATGAGATCCATTCGTAAGAGTGTGTAAGACAATAGACATCCCCATTGGAGATGCTCTAAGGATGGCAATGGGGGTAGGGGGCCCGTGGGAAACCGCCCCATGGGGGGAGCATGGGGTGGGGTTTGGGGCGGGGTGGGGACGGGGATGGGTGGGATATTTATACCCGTTAAAATATGGGGCGGGGGAGGGTTTTGCTACACCCGCCCTGTCCCCGTTATATATATAAACTCAAACATACATATATACAAACATACACATTTAAATAATGTATAACCTTATTTAAGTAAATTATAGAGTATGTAGTACGGAGTATATAACAAACACATGCACATAGATATAGATATATATAAATGTAAATATGTGTGTAACTGTGTATTAGTCATGATTAATGAATTAATAAATATTATATCATCATAATAATACGTAATAACTAAAAATACTTGTCATAAATGTTATACTCTGTATGAGTTTTAAAAGTGAGAAAGTGAGTTAATAATAGAACACATATGCATATTTAAGTATAATATACTCCATATATAATTAATTGTATTCTAATTGATGAGAAATTTGTAACGACATACATGATGATAATATGTTTACTTATATTTTTAATTTTCTTATTCAAATTAAAGAATTATCAAAAATTGGCGGAATTAACTTTTATCAAACACCATTTTATCTAGCTTATTTACTTCTTTTAGTGCTATATATATTTATATTTATCTTTAAAATGGGTTAAAAAATATGCAAATAAGATACCCCCTTTGTCCCATTTAAAGGTTCACGTCCACTATTCTCCGATCAACTGCATTGTTCTTAATCTTTTACTTTATATATCTAATAACATTTATCAAATTAAATTTTTTTTATCAGGTATTATAGAACTTTTAATGTTGTTTCTGAATATGTAAATTTTATTCACTAAAAATAATTCTACTAATGACAGGGATCAGTTAACTTTATGGTCAGTCAAACATCGTAATAAACCGCGTGGGAACCTCTAAATGGGACGGGGGAAGTAAATAAAATCTATATGGGGGCACCTGCGAGCACCCGTGGGGGACACCGGGGTGGGGCGGGGATGGGGCGGGTCTGGGAGTAGCGGGGGATGGGGTGGGGATGGGGGAAGCTTTTTAGACATGGGGCGGGGAATGGGGGAGTGAACCCCTGTCCCAAACCCGCCCCGTTGCCATCCCTAAACACGGGCAAGGCTAGAAAATCCAATCATTATAAAAAATAAAGGGATATTTTGAGTTTGCATCACATTTTATTGTCTAAATTAAACTTTGCACCCCTTTTTTGAAATCTTTAGTCTTTGTACTCCAACCCCGTACGAAAATACTAAAATGTTCCTCCATTCACAATTTTGTTGGCCTTCAACATATTTCTGATCGAGGGGCATTTTTGTCTTTTCATACGAGGTTGGAGTGCAAATACTAATGATTTCAAAAACGGGGTGCAAAGTCTAATTTGGACAATAAAATGGGGTGCAAACTCAAATTATACTCCTTCCGTCCCCCTAACTTTGTCCCGTTTTACCTTTCTCATCTGTCCCATTAAGTTTGTTAGATACCATATTTGGTAATATTTGGGTGGTTACAATTCATTCTTACTTTATTCACACTTATCAATAATTCGATACCAACTACACGATTTCACTTTTTAAAAAAAATAGTGGGACAGAGGTAGTACTATTTTTCTTTCTTTAATAGTTACGGCAGTTTGACTCTCATATTTGTCGACGCACAACTTTTACTGTAAGCATTATAAAGCATTGATATTTTGAAAATTCACATTAATAGAAACTTGATAACATTTTATGCATAATAATTTAATTAGATATATTAGTAGAAAATAGTGGCGAAAGTAAGATGTGTGAATAGTGTCTAAATCACAATGTTGCAACAATTAAAGAATGGATGAAGTACAATTTTAACAAAAAAATGTATTTAAAATTTGGTTTACAATAAATAATTAAATACAAATATAACATTTTTCAATAAAATTAAAGAAGTATGGAATGTTATAGTAACGAGTGCGTACTCATGCATTGCACAATAATTTTATTTGTTTGTCTGTGTGGTAGAAATTAGTAAGGATGAATGTGAAATTATCACTTTTTCCTGTCAATTTTGTGTGCTTGTTGATGTTAATTTTATGCATAAATGAAATATCACTTTTTCCTAATCCATTTAATAAGATATCTTATTTTTGAATTTCTATTAAAAATATGACCATTTTATAAATCAGTCCAAATGGATTTTCCGACTTTATAATTGTATTTTTCATTGGATTAAATTTAAATATATGAATTTGTAATACATTTTCTTGTTTTGTGAATGTTAGTATGGTTGATGCTTAATTTAATTTTCTAACTTATGTTAGTAAAATATGTGGTTCAAATATGTGTATGTTAGAGTTTTTTCCTACTTTTTGTCTTCCGACTATTATGTTGGTGACTCTTTTGATATTTCACTTTTTCTACTTTTAGTCCTTTTACTGTTGCATGAGAGATAGTTTTGATACCCATTTTTTTTATTTTATCATACTTAGTCTTTCGACTTTCATAACATGACATTTTTTTGCTTCAACTATTATCTCAATGACATTTTTAAGCTCTCACTTATTACGAGAAATCATATATAGTGGAAGGATTAAAAATGTTAAATTGATAATAATTGAAAGTCGAGTATCAAAAGTGTCATAGATAATAGTGGAGAACTAAAAAAGGTAAAGAGTAAAAACTCGTATATTTTTATATCGTCTAATTAAGTCTCATCTGACTTGATTTTTTTAAATGTGCTTAGATCCCATTTGAAAATAAAACCAATCTAATTAAAGACATTATAAGGCTTCAATCAACTCTGCCATGAAATCTGTCTGTCCCTATTCGGAATAAAGGAGAAGCGTGATGTCGTAGGTATGTGGCGACCAACAATATTACTTAGTCACATGAAATCATTATTGGAGCTATTTCTTAAAGTTGATAGGGCCAAAATTTATGTAGAAAAATGTAAAGTCAAGGTAGTGGTTAATAAAACTCGCGACACTCCTTGGCATAACGATAATGAGGAGAGGTCAATAATGGGTCTTACACATGAAAATTATGAGATGTAAAGGGTTGTATTTTGAAAACCCAAGTGAACCTATGGACATGTTACATGAGCTCTTCAATGATGAAGCAATACTAGTGTTGATAGATTTTGCTACAAGCTGTGGGGAAAGTGATACATTTGTTGAGCATGATTTGGATGCATATGAATGAGTTAACATTCCACTTTTTCCTTCTCCAGCTGTGGCACTTGAGGAACAAAATGAGATGGCAAAACACATAATGGTGTGAACATTGAGGGAATTCCAATTGAAGAAACCCCCATGGATGAAGAGTGTTACTTTAATGAATCAAATGAGGCAGATAGTGTTGAAGACCATGATAAAACACATGACACCGAAGTTGTGTTTGAGGGAGCAAATAATGATGGGGGCCTCATTGATGTGGACTTAGCCGCAGATTACAGTGGCTCAAATGTGGAAGATGTAACAGTATGCAGTGAGAAGCATGGCAGTGATGTAGGAGAAGAGACTATTAAGGGTGCGAGCAGTGAAGAGAACGAACAAAATGAGAGCGAAGAAACAGATAGTGTGGAGTATGACTCTTCGAATCCACCTAACTACACTTCAGAGCACGAGTCAGACGATTGTCATTCAAAAAGAAGAAACTTCAAGGTGTCCTCCTATAATCCTGAAACTGAACCTCGTCTGATTGACCTTGGAATGTTTTTTTGAAGATGTTCGACAATTCCACAATGTTATTATTAGATACGCTATTCATGAAAAAGGATGTGTATTTTTTAAAGAATGGCCTGACGAGAGTTAGAGTGAAGTGTGCACGTACTTGCACTTATTGTTGTACTTCCACTTGGAAGAATAGGTTGAAGTGTTTCCAAGTGAAGGTGTTGAACAAAGAACATAGGCGCAATTCTAAGTTTAAACCTCGAGTGGTGAGTCAAAAATGGACAGTTGAGAGATTTATGGAAAAAATGGAAGACAACTCTCCCATTGGCGTCGTTGAACTAAAAAATCCTATCAAAGTAGAGTTGAAGATTCATGTGCCTTTGAGTATGATCACCCGGGCATATAGGATTGTTCATGACAAAACACATGTTGCCTTTAAAGACCAATTAAAAAATCTTAGAAGCTATGCTGAGGAATGCATGCAATCTATTCCTGGGAGTACAATGATAATTAAAATAGTTAGCACTGTCCCTGAAGCTCCTTCTGTGTTCCAAAAGATTTACATTTGTTTCAGCGTAGTGAAAAGGGGTTTTCTAGAGGGTTGTAGGAAAGTAATTGGGTTAGATGGTTATTTTTGAAAGGTTATTTGAAGGGAGAGGTACTGACTGCTGTGGGTAGAGATGCAAACAATCAAATGCCTCTGGTGGCATGGGCTGTGATCGAAATAGAAAACAATTCCTCTTGGTCCTTGTTTTTGGAGTTGTTGA